TCGTTTCCGGACACACTTCTGTCCACTTCCTGTAGTTCTCTTGCAGCTTGTTTTGCAGCTTGATCAGCTAGATGGTGGCCCTTTGCTTCATCTGAGTCCAACTTCCCATGTGCTTTTATCTTCAAAATAGCCACTTCTTCTGGGAGTAGGAGGGCGTCCATCAGCTCCTTGATTGCTAAACCGTGCTTGATTGGTGTACCGGCGGTGGTAAGAAATCCTCTTGTTTTCCAAATTAATCCGAAGTCGTGAGCCACGCCCAGTGCATATCTTGAATCCGTGTAGATATTGGCGTGCTTTCCTTCAGAGATCTTGCATGCTGAAGTCAGGGCTTGCAATTCAGCTTCTTGTGCAGACATAGTTGATGGTAAAGATGATGATTTGACAATTTCATCTGTTGTGGTTATGGCATATCCTGTATGGTATCTTCCTTCTTCATCAGCATATCTTGAGCCGTCCACAAACAGGGTGAGATCGGGATCTACCAATGGGTCTTCATGCACAGTTGGTAGATGTGTTGTTTCCATTTTCATCTGTTCAAAACAGTCATGAGGTGTATTTGGGTGGTAGTCATTCACTATGGTTAAATCTTGGAACTCATTTTCCAGGAAATGACGTGGCCATGCTTTTAGGTGGTCAGTTGTTGGATATTTGACAACACCATTTTCCTGTAGCTGTGATTCGTCCATAGTGGCCCATGCTTTTGCCATAGGCCCAAGATCATTCCATGATATTGTTTTCAACTTGGTCACAGGGACATGTGGAATGGCAGTGTCCCAATGGCGGTACAAATGCTTGAGTTCCGGAGGTAGATGAATCAAGACCATACTGTTGCCTTCAGAATCACAGTAGAAGTCTTGTGCAGTGAGTTTTACTTCGACCAGATGATAGAGTTCATCTTCATAGCAGGGTTCAGGAGTGGTGTTTGGTTTGTACCACATGGTACAGAAGGCATATCCTGCTCCGTCATGAAGGAGTGCTTGTCCATCATGAAAGGATAGGTTGGGATGCATTTCCTTCTTGATGGTGCCAGTGAGGAGAAAAACATAAGTTTCGTCCATGATGAATCCGTAGTATACACCCCCCTCAGGGAGTGGCAGAAGAGTGGACGGATTGAGAACTTGACATCTTTGAAGGGTAATGTGGTCAGGCAACAAAAGATGACATTGAAGGCGAAGATGCCTAGCAGGAGTAACATGCTTAAGTTGGACCTGGTTGACTACGGCAGAAATGTCATGAGGGGCCAAGACAACCAGGGGGTGGCCAAGGACAAGATCTCCAGTTCTTTCAATGAGCTCTTTGGCAGCACAGACGGCCCGAAGGCAAGTGGGACGTCCTCTGGCCACAATATCCAGTTGGCAGGAGAAAAATCCAATAGGCCTTTGGCGGCCTCCAGGACCATGGGCCTGAGTGAGTACTCCTGTTGCATGGCCTTGTCTTTCAGAAACAAACTATTTGAAGGGTTTGGTATAGTCTGGTAGGCCAAGAGCAGGAGCAGAAGCAATAGCACGTTTAAGAGTACAGAAGTTGTCAAGGGCTTCTGTGGACAAGCAAAATGGGTCTGACTTGAGAGCATCATAGAGAGGTTGCATAAGGAGTGAGGCTTCTGGAATCCATGCTCGGCAATAGGAAATGAGGCCTAGGAAGGCGTGTAGTGACTTTGAGGTCCTTGGAGGTGGAATGTCCAGTACTGCTCTAACTCGGTCACGAGTGAGATGTCTGGTTCCCTGAGACAGACAATGGCCAAGGAAGATAACAATAGGTTGGCAGAATTGCAGCTTGAGACGTGAAGCTTCACATCCTTGTTCTGCTAGATAGTAAAGAAGATTAATTGAGCATTGTTCTGTTGTGGGTAGATCATCTCCACAGTAAAATGGGAAGGGAACAAAGAACTGTAGTGTCTTTTCGTGACAAAGGTGTATTTAATTGAACCTGGCCGTCTGCAGTGAGGGTGATGGATGCTTGGAGGCGGGATAGGACATCTGCACCAACACAAGAGACATCGGTGTCAGGCAGGAACGATGAGTCAGGCAGGACTTGTTCTCTAAGAACACTGCGTGCTGCACCTGTGTTAACCAGGAAAGTAGTAGGGTGACCTTCAATAGGTAAAGTTACAGTGGCTAGTGGCCCCCCTTGTTCCCTGTAGACACTGCCATGGCAGGGGCATTAATCATCAGCGGGTTTGCTCTCCTCTGTATGGGCTGTGTTACTGACTCAAACCCCTTTCTATGTCATTAGCCATAGCTTTTTGCAGTCTGAACATGTCTATCATTATAAATAATGGTTAATAGTAAGTGAAGTAAAGTTCCTAAATGTCTTTGGATAAAACATTAACTATTGCGGTACTATCATTTATATTAATTAGACTATAACAATTATACCACCCTGTAACTAAAATGAATAACCAGTAGTGGCTGGGTTAATAAACATGTCACAAACCCTTCTAATGCTAAACCATCATTTAAAGTAAAGGATGTTACTGTAAACATACGATCTGTAACTAGCAAGATTCGATTAAGTAAAGATACAATGTTTAAAATAACTTGCATTATTTAGCTATTTCCCTTGTTGCAAGATTAAGCTGGATAATCGGCTGTTATGCTCTTATATTCGTGTCCAACAGATCTCATTTGTAGGTCACACCACATTTGCAAATTACATTTTAGCAACCTTCTTTTTTTTTTTTTTTTATCACGGACAAATTTCTGATACAGGGAAACAAATGGCATGATTGTTTTAGTAATTATAATGTTTCAGTTCATAATATGTAGAGTGTAAGGAAAACCACGTCTCTAAATGGGACGAGCATAATAGGGGTAGGCCTCATGATGGAGGCAGCCATGACAGGGGCGGGGAAGGAAATGACAGCAAGGGAGGAAGTGAGAGGGGTGACGTCCATGATATGTGTGGGAAAGGAAGACAGGAGGTGTGGGCATGGTAAGGGCGGAAGTGACGTCACTTTAGAAGCAACTGTGACTGTAGATAGGTCACGGGACTGGCAGAGTCAACCTCCTTCTGTACTAGGCGCCATCTTTAGGGTGGTGGCTGACGCACTTTCAACAATACACTATATTATAACTAATAAAATAAGTCAGAGAAGCAACATTCCGTTCTGCAAAATAAAATACTAAACTATGAACAGACCTGGCAGGTTAAATAAGACAGTTGAGAACATTATGCATTTAACAGCCCATACAGCTGTTTCTAGAAACATGTACTTTAAAATAACTTTAAAATAATAAAATGATGCAAAATAAACTCACGGAATTCAACCAAATTCCCTTATCTTCCTCATTGCATAGTTTTGCAACAAATCACGCTTGCCTTTACACTTAACACGTCCAAATATTCCTCTATTCTTGTATCAGATTCACTTACTTAACCTCCGTAAATCAACACTGAGCTACATCCCTGACTCCCTGTCTTATACACCAGTCTTGGAGAGAATACTCAGAAAGGTGGAATGCATTCTTGTGAGCGAGCCCCCCCACAATCTTCACTGCCTTATCACAAAACACAATTTATATATATATATATATATATGCAAACGGCAACAATAATAATATTATTACACAATTATAACACCATAACCTTTGAATTAGAATATTGTCCAGCAAAAATCCTGTCTCTAACTCTTATCAGTAGAAATGCAGGCAAGCGGGGAGGAGAGGGGGGAGAAAGTTAGACAGTGCAAAAAAAAAGGGAGTGAAGCTGCAGGCATGAAGATTAACCATGTGAGTGCTGGAAAGTAACAAGACAGAAGGACAGAGACTTATACGTTTGGAAACCAGAAATCTTTGACGGGAGAAACGGACTGGAGGTGCAGGGAGCTGCAGAGAGGGGATGAGGGTGACGAGATCTGTAGGACTGATGGGGGGGGGAGAATAGGGATCCATCAGCATCCAGTAACACAATTATTATAATACACAAACAAACTTAAACCTTTGTGATCAATATCTTCCTCAACCTATCCCTTTTGCTGAATAGCTCTTGCTACTCGGTATCAGGCTTCTACTGTACAAACCAAATCTTGGTCCGACAGCTTCCCTTTCTTCTCTGTCAGTAACTTACGCCAGCTCTCTGGCTACAATCTGCCGCACAGAGGTACGGTAATTCCACATACTTTAGCAATCTTCCTCACTTTCTTAACCATCTCTTCTCCTTCTCTGTCTTCCACTAGATCACATGCTAACCAACCCTAACTGGGTTTATCTAACTTCTGTCCCATCCTCCCTATACAAGGCGTCCCAGATATAGAGAGAGAAAGGAACAGAACGTCTACCGTGCTCGACTGCTACTTTAAGAGCAAGCTCTTTAAGTACGTCTTCCCAAAGCGTAGACTAGTCACTGATTCCGCCTACCCGTGGTAGCCGCGGATTGGAGCGTGGCGAGAAGTGTGTGACCAATCACTTCTCTCAACAAAGAGAGAAATAGGAGGGGAAAGTGTAAATAGTACAGTGAGTAAGATAGAAGTAAACACAGGAATCTGTGTGACAGACAATTAAGACAACATTTCAAATAAAATACAGTGCATGCATCACAGTTCAAATAAGTTCAACAGTTTTATCCTTGCCTTTACTCGTGTGGCCAAAAGCCACCTCCCTCAACCTCGTAGTGTCCCTGTTGCGGACCCACCCGCAAGTCTCACTACCAGCAGCCACAGGAAACAGCAACAGCTTCCAACCCGAATCCTGTATAGCCTAAAGAATTGGAATCTTACCTGCCTCAGCGCTCGAGGCTGGAATTTTACCAAGAAGAAGTGTCCGATGAGGCTAGCTAAGCAGTCAAAGTGACACTATGGGGAACCCCCAGAAAGCAGTGAGTCTACACCCCTCCACAGATTCCCCCTACTCTTTTTTCCTTACAGCCACAGCTACGTGGCTCCTAAAAGAGTTAAACAAGCAATAGAGGACCCCCAGGAAAACTTCCACAGGTCCACCCCCCTTTTTCCTTACTACCACAGCCACGTGGTACCTAAAAGGAGTTAAACAGGCACTTACACTCCCCGGGTAGACTAAGTTAAACACAAACCAATACAAAAACCAACAGATAGTCAACATGCAGGTAAACTAGGTATCATTAACAATACAAAGACTCTGGGCAAGTTATTACCTGACTTTGATGTCCTCTCGGCAGCAGTCACAGACACTGGGATAGGTCAATCACAGGGGCAGGAGCATACCGGCTAGGTGCTGCAGCAATCTCTACCGTGTACTCAGAGGTGATCAGGCTCTTTTCCTTCCCCCAGGATTCACCCCCCCCAGCATCTTCTTGGACAGCTGCCCAGGCAGGACATAGCCCAGAGCCCCACGTTGGGCGCCAGTTGTTGTAGATAATTTACTGCAAACCAATTAGTTTGAATGACTATCTGTTCCTGTCCAAATTAAAGATACCGTATATACTCGAGTATAAGCCGAGTTTTTCAGCACATTTTTTGTGCTGAAAAACCCCAACTCGGCTTATACTCGAGTCACTGTCTGTATTATGGCAATTTACATTGCCATAATACAGACTGGGGGCTGGCAGAGCTGTTACTTACCTCTCCTGCAGCTCCTGCCAGCTCTCTCCTCCTCCGCGCCGGTCCGGTCAGCACCTCGGTCAGCTCCCAGTGTAAGTCTCGCGAGAGCCGCGGGGTCATAGTGCGGCTCTCGCGAGACTTACAGTGTGAGCTGACAGAAGAGCTGCACGGACCGGCGCGGAGGAGGAGAGAGCTGACAGGAGAGGGTAAGTAACAGCTCTGCCAGCCCCCTCCTCCCCCCACTGAACTGCCAATGCCACTGGACCACCAGGGAAGGAGAGCCCCCCTCCCTGCCATGTATCAAGCAGGGAGGGGGGACAACAAATAAATAGATTAATAATATACAAATATAAATAATAATAATAAAAAAAAATAATATAACAAAAAAATTAAAATAATATTAATTAATAATATATAAATAATAATAATAATAATAATAAAAAAAAAAATAATATAACAAAAAAATTAAAATATTAATTAATAATATATAAATAATAATAATAAAAAAAAATTTAAAAAAATAATATAACAAAAAAATTAAAATAATAATATTATTTTTTTTTTTTTATAAAAATGCCCACCCCCCCACCAAGGCTCTGCCACACAAACACACACTGCATCACACACACTGCACTCATATACACACTGCACTCATACACACACTGCATTTATGCACACACCCTGCATTCATACACACACCCTGCATTCATACACACACACTGCACTCATACACACACACTGCATTTATGCACACACTGCACTCATACACACACTGCGCACTCATAAACAAACACTGCACTCATACACACACTGCACTCATACACACACTGCATTCATACACACACACTGCATTCATCATATACACACACTGTAAATAAATATTCAATTAATATAATTTTTTTAGGATCTAATTTTATTTAGAAATTTACCAGTAGCTGCTGCATTTCCCACCCTAGTCTTATACTCGAGTCAATACGTTTTCCCAGTTTTTTGGGGTAAAATTAGGGGCCTCGGCTTATATTCGGGTCGGCTTATACTCGAGTATATACGGTAATAAAGTTGCGTGCACGCAGAAGTAAATTCACACTGAGACACAAAGTTCAGGTTAATGAAAGAACTCCGGAGAAGTTTAATGGCTTCTGACAGAAAATGGGTACGCAGACCCTTTTAAAGGCATTATTACATCATTGAAGAAAA